CGTGAGCAGACGGCCCAGCGGGAGCAGGACCAGGCCAGGAGCTGATGAGTTTCGTAGCCGAAACTCTGTGGGCATTCGGATTATCTACAAAATCAGCCAACATGGCAGATCTCAATGGCTAGACTTAAACATCTGTGTGTAAAGCCACAAAGATTCAAATTATTTTATCCTCTCCAGGAACACAAAAGTACTTGAGATCCTCTTTCTCCTTTTCGTGGCTAAAAATAGAGATTCATAGAACAACATCAGAAAGAGAAATCAGGGCTTCCCGGGTGGCGCAGTGGTTGAGACACGGGTTCGTGCCCCGGTCCGGGAGGATCCCACATGCCGGGGAGCGGCTGGGCCCATGAGCCATGGCCGCTGAGCCTGCGCGTCCAGAGCCTGTGCTCCGCAACGGGAGAGGCCACAGCAGTGAGAGGCCCGCGGACCGCAAAAAAAAAAAAAAAAAAAGAAAGAGAAATCAGGGCCTACATCCTCCACGTACACCTTGGGGGAAGGGCCCTAAAGGTGGAGCAGAAGCCTCTCCCTCTGCCACAAATCCACAGATCACAGCTGAATCTGCAAGGCTAATTTTTCCAGTTGGAAGTCAGTACACAGAGCACCTTTTCTGGCGTCAGCTGTGAACTCTGGGAAACCAGAAAGAGCCTGCCCCGCCGGGATGAGGGTTTGGGCCTCTGAGACCACATACTCCTGAAGCAAGAAAGCACAACTGCAGAAACACACAGCCTGGGTCCTGCACTCAGACTCCGAATTCACCTGCAGGAGCCTCTGCAGGCCTGTGGCCAAGGTCAGCCTCTGGCCTCGTGAGGACCTCTGTCTGCTGGGCTCCCACCCTCCCCGAGCAGCCACCAGCATCCTGGGAGCAGGACGCGGATGTCAGAGCAAGGTCCCAGGCTCCCCGACGCCCCCCGATTAGAGGGAAAACTCGCCAGGGCTCCGGGGAGCAGGGGCCCAGCCAGGGGGCGCCTCTGGGGTGAGCTAATCATGGCGTGAGTCCAGTTCTACCTCTTATTAGTGGGGCCTAAACGTGTGACCCTGGCGCTGGGCCTTGTAAGCAAGTGCTCAGGGGGACCGTGCAGAGGCCTCCCCCAAAACTGTTCTTTTTAAAGCTCACTATCAGTGAGCTTCCTTTTTTTTTTTTTTTTTTTTTTTGGTAATCTTTAAAATTTTTTTTTAACTTTTCGGCCGTGCCGCATATGGGATCTTAGCTCCCCAACCAGGAATTGAACCTGAGCCCCCTGCAGTGGAGGCACAGAATCTTAACCGCTGGACCACCAGGGGAGTCCCCAGCGAGCTTCCTTTTGTGATCTTCAGATGATGTGGCTGAGGATCCTTTGCCAGGTCAGAAAAGAGAAAATAACCCAGAAGTGACTGACTGGTCCAAAAGCCCGAGTGGGCTGGCCCAATGGAGACCACCCGAGTGCCGACGGGCCGGGGCCAGGGGTGCCCCAGCGGAACGACGTGTAGTTGGATTTGTTACCAGCCTCCAGCTTCATTTAATCTTATTCCAAATTAGGATACACTCTGAAATATTCAAACAACTTATAAAATGCAATCAGAGTCAGCAGTAGTTTCATCGGACTTTTGGAAACTAACAGTTAGACACAGCATAAAGGTTATGGATATTATTAAAATCATCGATCGGACCCAAAAACCTAAAAGAAACCCTGTCTGAAATACTGATTTGGACACGCAGCCCCTCGGGTCACTGAACCCAGTAGCCCCAAGTAACCCTGTTCATCGCGTGCCCTCGCCCCTGAAGAAAGTCAACTCTTTTTAAGTACCCAAATCACAAAAGCAAAGTTTGTCTATAGGAATTTAATTCGACATGTGTGCTGCTGCTGTCACAAGACTCACCTTAAAATGCTCCGCATTCCCCAAACTAGTTTCCTTTTAAGTATTATACATGCTTCGTGTAACTTTACCCCTTTAAAGGCAAATCCAGAGGTTATGCCGGGCACAGACAGAGACATTAAGACCTCAAAAGTTGGGACTCTCCCCGAGCCTATTCTAAAGGAAACACAAGTTCACTGGACACACAGAGCGAGGACCCTGGATATGGCCTCGCCCAGGGCAGACGCTCAAGTACGTTCGCTTCAACCAACAGATATTTAAACTTTAGCTCCTTTGGGACAATACAACGTCCTCTGAAAGCCACCACAGAGAAACAGTTCACCGGGAGTGGGAATCGGCCGGTCACCTCCACCCTCACCGCCACGGCCGATCGTGGGAGCCACTTGGCACCATCCTTGGCGGAATCGCTTTCTCGTCCGCAGAAAGAAGCGAGGTGGGAAGACCCTCCCCTTCCTGAAGAGGCTCGTGGCCTATCGGACGTGAGTGCGGGGGGCACTTAAAACAAGCCGCCCGCGTTTCCCCAAGGCTTTAAGAGCAGAAGCGTCATTCCCTGAGGCTCTAAAATAAGTCTAAACTCTTAGTTAAAACCTATGAACTTCTATCCAACACTGCTGTTGGTTTCACAAACCTTCTGTGGAAAGAATTTAGCATCATTCCGTGACCCCGTGGGCCTATCAGAAGGCTCTGCACACAGGGGCGAGCCACTCATGCTGTACAGACAAAAAGACCCCAAAAGGGCACTGATCCCATGGCCCCCCAAATTCCTTGGGAAGAGAATAAGGCTGCACACTTCTCAGTAAAAGGTTCCTTTCACTGGCAAGACAGAAGTCGAAGTGCCCAGAGGTGCTGCACCGCAGGCTGGGAAGTGGATCTGTCCCGATAAGCCCTCCACCCCAGACGTCGGAGCCCGTCAGCACTGGGCACCCCAGCTGGGCAGCCCGAGACCCCGTGGGCAGGAAGTCTGGCCACCTTCCCGGCAGGTGAGTGCCTCGACCTCTCTCTTCTCCCGTGGCCTCCAGCCGCCCACCCCACCCCACCCCCCTGCACCAGCTGACGGGATCACACGGAAACACATCGCCAGGGACCAGGAAACATATTTTGATGTGGAACCAAAACAGTGGGAAAAGTTGACTTTAAACCCTCGGGGGGCAGTGTGGTGCCTTCACAGGGTTTGTTGGCATGGCTCACAGGAACGCCGGGAGCGTCACACCTCGCCCGGAGCTCTGGGACCAAGAGATAAATGGAGCAGGGCACTCAACCAGGGAATCATCACCGAGACCCCGGAGCACACAGCAGGCAGCAGCTCTGCGTCCTGAGGCAGGACGACCCGCCAGAAACGCCCGCGTTCCCACAGGCTCCCTGTTGCTGAGGTCCTGAGGAAGCCACCCCATCTTCCACCGGGGGGTCACAGGCTGAGCTGGTCCCTCCAAAAGTCCCAGGTTGGAGTCCTAACCCCAGGACCTCAGAAGGCCACTGCACTTGGATGCGGGGTCTTTACAGGGGCCGTCAAGGTAGCGCGAGGCCCCCGGGTGGTCCTGGTCCAAGGACTTCAACGCCGGTGCCTGGGTCGCAGACTCCAGGCCCCAGAACCCTGAGGGATAAACGCCTGCTGTTTTAGCCGCCCCGTCTGTGGGGTTTGGTCACAGCAGCTCCTGGAGACGCGGTAGCTAACTTTGCACCTGCAGTGGTGATGTGGGCTCACTGACGCCCCGTCACGGTCCGTGGAAATGAGAAGGCCCTAAACTGTGTGTGGGCCTGTGCGCTTGAGCAGGTCAGCCCCAGAGCTTTCTTCTTAAGTAGTATTATAGAGAGGACAGCTCTGCATGAACAGTTCTTATATTTTAAAACGCCTCCAAATGGATTTTTAAAATTGCCACATTTATGAATTTGATCCAGGTTCCGGCTCCCAGTCCACGGTAATCCTTGTGCCTCTACCTCTCGACGCCTAAATGTGCCAGCAGAAAGGAAGCATTCACCGTCCGATGCTTTAGAAACTGTCACGTCTCTCACACTGTTTCTTTGCCACAAACTTCCAAAAAGGTTTAGGTGTGTCCATTCGGCGCCTGGGACTACATTATCCACTGGCAGCTCTAACCACCTCATGCGTGCTTTAGTTGTGGAGAAAAAGAGGGTCTGAGCGCAACAGAGAAAATTCTGAAACAAATGAAACCCTACCGATTCGCTCTCCTCATCTACCGGGCACGAGGGCTGGAAGGCACTGGGCCCTACCTTGCAGTCTTGCCGCCAGAACCAAAAAGGGAGCAGGGACAAGAAAACACTGAGTCTCGAATACCTGAGTCTACAGGCAGAAGGCTGCATGCCCGTCACACACGCCTCTTCCTGGAGAGGCCCCCGCAGCCCCCACGGCAAAGGCCGTGCGCCTCCTGGGAAGGCCCGTGTGCACCGTCTAGGCCTGATAAAAAACCCTGCAGCAGAAAGCACTCTGCCAGGGGTCATTAGCGGCCCACCTGTTGGGAAAGCTGTTTAGTTAAACATAAAAACCCCGGGCTGAGTAAGTGGACCCAACAGAGCACCGGCAGCCCTGACGCTCGGAGGAGCTGAGGCTCCCGCCAGGCAGCCGCCTCCTGGAAGGAGAAGGCTGCGCCGTCTCCAAACGCCGGCGGGCACGGCTGGTGCGGGCGCGCCACTCCCGGGAATTGCGGGGCCGAGGCGCCATCTGCACCGACAAGTGCAGCGACGGCAGTTAGGTGCGAGCAGGGAAGCCAAACACACAGACACGGGCGTCACTTGGTTTTGTAGGAAACAAAACAAAAACTGAGCCCACGTGTTGGTAAACCCTCGTGACGGGCTGACTCCTGTCCCCGAAGGTCTGACCCCGCTCCCCCTCCAGCACCTCGGATATAACCTCACCTGGAGACAGGCCTAAAAGGGAGAGAATTCGTAAAGGTGAGGTCTTTGGGGTGGGCCCTCGACCAACACGACTGGGTCCCGATAGAGGGAGATTCGGACACAGACACAGGCCGGGAGAAGGCCGAGGGGTGTGAAGGCAGAGGGACGCCAGGACGGCAGCAGACCCGGCGCTGGAGAGCGGGAGATCCTCCCTGAGCCTCGGAAGGAACAGCCCTGCCGGCACCCGGGCCTCGGGAACCCGCTGCCACGGCCCACGCCCGCCCGGACCCGCTTACCTGGTGTAGGACGTTGGGGACCTTGGCCGGGCCCACGGGTACAGGTGCTGCGGCACCGACAAGTACTGGTCGCAGAAGGCGCCCTTGCGGATGTGCTGGAAGGACGGGAACTCCTCGGGTGGGAAATCAGACGTGGGTGGCGTGGCCCCCAGGTCCTCCCCGGCCGGCTCCACCTTGAGCGCCACTGAGGGCGAGTGGTCCAGGGCGGTCTTGCGGGCTTTGACGGGGACGCCGTCGCCCAGGTCCAGGCTGCCGTCGGTGCTCAGGGCGTTGATGGCGGCCACGATGGCCGAGCTGGTGTACTGCGTGGTGTTGCCCAGCCAGGTGTCGTCGGTGACGCTGACCCGTGGCGATCCTTGCGGGGACGGCGTGGGCGAGGGGTGGGGGGAGCAGGACAGCTGCCGGCCGTTGAGGCCGTACTTCCGCTTGTTGCAGGGGGACGAGGGCCTGGACGTGCGGGCCCCCAGCCAGCTCTCCTCGGTGACGCTGGTGCGCGGTGACGTGGAGGGCGAGTGCCTCGGGGACCCGAGCAGGCCGCAGGCCCCCAGGCCACGGGGGAAGCCCTCCTCGGGGTCTGTGGTCTTGGGGGACACGCACGGGGACTGCCACGGGGACGTCTGCGGGGACGCGTACGGGTACGAGAAGCTGGACTCGTAGGACGAGGCCTCGGAGTTGCAGCTGCGGGACGACAGGCTGCTGGCCGGGCTCAGGCACGAGGGGTCGCGGTAGGCCTCTAGGCTGGGCAGGTTCAGGGTGGCCGTGGACGGGGACCGCTTGGAGCTGGGAAGGACGTCTTCCGCGTCTGCGTCATGGAAGAACTGGCCGTTGCCGTGGTGCAGCCCCAGGTAGGAGGTGATCTCGATGCGAGGGCTCTCCAGGGCCGGGGCCCCGTTGGGCCTGACTCCGCCGGAGGAGAGAAAGTAGCTCGACGGCCCGCCGTCCAGGGCGGCCCCGTAGCCTGCGGAGGAGACGCCCGGGGCCGAGGTCTGCAGGTCGTGGCACGGGGCCGGCAGCGAGGGGTGGGCAGAGGAGAGGGGCAGGCCAGAGCCGACGCCGGAGGTTACGTAACTGTAGTGCTCTGGAAGGGAGGGGGAGACGGGTGAGGCGCTGGCCACGGAACTGCCACCCACGAGCTCAGGGACCTCGCGATCCGGGACCGGCCTCACCCCTCACCCCGCGGGCCTGGCCTCCGAGATGGGCTCGCTACTGCTGCTCCAGCGGAGAAGCGGCCCGAGCCCCGGCCTGGCCAGCGGGGTCCCTGAGCGCCCCCCCCGGGCCCCTCCCCTCTCCACTCCAGCCACCGCCCTCTCACCGGGGCTTCCCTCTGCGCAAACATCCTTCCCGCAGAGCCGCAGCGCCGGTCCCCTTACTTTTTTCTGCTTTTTCTCAAAAACCACGTCCCCCACCTGCCCTACCCCAGTCGCAGCCCCCGGCCCAACGGGCGCGTCACCCTCCCCCGCTTGCTTTCTTCTCCTCACGTTCACCAGCTCCCCCATCACGTCCTGCACCAGCAGAACCCATGCGTCTGAGGGCAGCGTCGGGCCCACCCAGGTCTACCCTGGTCCACCCCTGCCTCCAGGGCCCAGGCCTGTGCCTGGTCTACAACGGTGCTCCATCTGTCCAACCAACAGACGGGCGGGCGGGTTTTAGACACGGGGGCCTGGACGTTTAAAGACGCTGTGATAGACTCATCACCAGCGACAGAGAAAACACCCCAAGGATTTTGGACAAACACATGGGTTCCGGGATCTCTCATGTACCTTCTGATGGTGGCTCATGGCCTAAGAATCCTTCTTTTACAGGAAAAACGAAGCAGAAGACATTGATGTACAGCCATATATTAAATCATTATATATTGATTATAGCCTCAGTAAAATATGTTTTAAAAAAGTCACTACTAGTGTAATTAGTCATTTTTAGCAGCAAAGCCACACGTCTGGATTTCCAGTTTGAACAGACCCTTTGTAACATGTGGGTACCTCATTATCGTGTGCCTAGAGCTGAGGCTCCCAAGGTCTCTGAATAATGGAGCTGCTCGTGGAAACCCTACACCACCTCCCGGGCCAAGCGCACCAGCCTGGAGAGGCTTCATCCAATGACAGTGCCGCCCTTCTGCTGGGCTTCAGAAACCCACCTGGGCGGACCCCAGATAATCAAGGGCCTCAAAGTACAGGTTCACATCCCACCGGATTTATTAACAGAAGTGGGTCCAGCTCCCCCAATAGGGGGATATCTATTTCCATTATGGCTTATTTCAGAAGGAGCATACAACCTGCCTCTGGTAACCCAGACCCTTACATCTTTGCTATCGAGAAGCTCTGGCTTTTACACTCTGAATCCCCTGCCCCATAAAACACTGTTCTCTGCTGCTCCCCAAAAGAGCGGCCCCGAGAGAACACACAGGTCCTGCCCTCCCCGCCCCGGGGGTCAAGGCCGGGCTGTCTTCTGGGGAGAAAGCATCAGTGTCGTCCAGGTGCTCAGATTCGGTGCCGGATTGTAAACGGCCCCAGGGAGAGACTGAGCCGTGAGGGGGAGAGAAGCGAAACTGCAGTGGAGGCAACCGGAAGCTCCGAGTGGGAGGCGGCGCCTGGGCGGAGGGGGGCTAGGTGGGTCCGTGGATATGCCCCCCGCAAGCCTCGTCAGCCCCTCGTCCCGAGAGGGAAGGATGGGGGCGCGACCAGGGGCCGGACCCCAATGCCAGCGCCCAGCCCACCCGGGGCTGCTGGGTGAAGCTCCCCTCAACGGCCGGGTCCCCCGCTCACACCAGCACCCCTGCAGGCCCACGGACACGTTTAACACAAAAACCATAAGAGAATGTTAAAAATCGGAGGACAGTCTTTGCAAAACTCAAACAGGAGGTTAATAAGCCTGGAAAGGCATGTCCAGAGGAGACAGTCAAGACTGCTCAGAAGGAGGGGGCACGGGGGCTGCAGGCCAGGCCGCTGAGGCCCCGCCCGCCACGCGGTGACCCCTCGGGACAGGTGAGGACACCCCTGCCTCAGCCCCACCCTGTGCCTGGGTGAGCGGAGGCCCTGGACGCAGAGGAGGCCAGGCCAGTGCTGTCCAGAGGGACCCCGGCAGCGGGCGGGTGCGGATCCCAGAGGAGGCCCCGGGGTCTCTGCAAGGGCAGGACCCATCAGGGGCGGCAGTGGTGTCAACATGGAATCAGTCTTCTCTCAGTTACCATGGGAGCCTAAATGCTGCTGTGTGTTTCTTCCCAGAGGTACCTGGCCGATGAGCCGGGCAGAACCAAGGTCCCCTTCCGGCCACAGCACGGTGGTACATGACACGGACATTACAGCCATATCCACAGACCTCCCACTAAGAGGGTCTCCCTTCACCGCTGGCCCAACACTTTCCAAACCATTCTAACCAGAACTGCCAGTTTGAGAAAGAAAAAACTGTTCCCAGTACCTGTGTGGCTTCAGGTAAGTCAGATGTCAACCAAAAGCAGGCTGGATGGGCTGGTGTGTCCAGCACCACCTGTTGTTGTGTGATTATGATGAGGGCTGCGTGGTCAGTAAGTAGAATATTAATAAATCGTATTACATACGTCCAGGGCAGGAATTTCAGTAACAACACTTCAGCAAGTAGCTGTATTACGTTTGACGTGTTCCAAGGCCAAGTGTGAGTTACAGAGCCCCCGGCTCCCGCCGCACCCCCTCTGCCCCCACGCCATCCAGGCGCCACGCGAGCTAGAGCATCGGAACCAGCATTTCTGGCATTTCTCAGGTGGCTTCTCATAACCGGCTCTCCAGCCCTACCTCAGCGAGTGGGGCCTTCACCTCGCCCGCCCTGGATCCCCCGCAGGCCCGCAGCCCGAGACGTGGGCCCCGCCTCTGCCTGCACCCTGACACCAGAGGGTACTCGCCGGCCTGAACCAGCCTGGAGGCGCGCCTTCCCCTGCCCACGGAGGAGGCCCGTCCCAACTCCTACGGACAAAGAGCCCGGGGCAGCAGCCTCCGGGGGCCCCGACTTCTGGCAGGCACCCCTCCACCCGCACCCTGGGGCAGCAGCTATGATGCGGCACGAGCTCCATGCCTCCTTGACGTTCTGTCCGCAAGGGGGCAACGTGCAGATGGCGGGGACAACGCGCCAGCCCCCCCAGCTGAAAGAGGGCCCCAGACCCGGCCGCTCCTGGGAGCAGCGAAGGTGCCCCAGGCCTGCACCCTTGCTTCTGTGGTCACCGTGTGCTTTGAGCCCTTTCCTCCACGTGAAGTGCACAGACCATCCGGCATTCGACGAAGAACAGACTTCATTTTAAAGACAAGTCACGACTCCAGGAGGGAAGCCCAGGCAGGACACGACGGCAAACAGACAAACTGTGCCCAGAGCCCAGGCCCGGGGGTCCGCACACAGCCTCAGCGGGCCTGCCAGGCCCCTTCCCCAGCACCCGGAGGCCTTGGGGGGCCTTGGAGGGGGTTTAGTGGACAGATCCCCACACTTCCCGCCCAGCTAAAGAATATTATGCAAATCTGTCATTTATTTTAAAAGATACAGCAGATCCCACCACTGAACTACCATTTGTTGGCAGGAAGGTAATTCCAAGAATTCAAAAAAATCCTAGCAATCAGCTTGGGGCCTCCCCACCACCTGCCCACAGGACTCAGCCACATTCGTGGTCCCGAGCCCGAGTCGTGGCGGGGATCTGAGAGCGTGCCCGCCCCTGCCCCCGGCCCCCAGAGGGAGATGGGTCCGCTGACTCCCAGGGCACTCCGAAGGGGGGCCTTTATTTAACCAAAGTCTGTCAATAAACGCGATGCAACGAGGAAGAGAAAAACATAAGCCTTTATAAGCCTTTATTAAAACAGAAAAAAGACCCCCTAAGCGTGAGTTTTCCTTAATTAAATGAGTTACAAAGCAAAAGCCTTAAGTGCCTGAACTTGATTCTGAGCTCAGCCACAGTCTGGTGATGGAAGTTCTCCCTTTTCGGACAAAACGCGTACAGGTAGGACCCGGCCTGCCCAGGGCCTGCCTTCCTGCCGGGGTGTGTGTGGGGGGGCATCTCTCCCCTCCCCTCATCCCTCCCAGCTTCCACTCAATTTCCTACCTAAACCGTAATTCAAATCTGAATTCTTTAACTATTCAAAGGGATTACATTTACCTGGAATGAAAACATTTCCAGTAACTTTCCTGACAGCCCTGAGATGCTCAGGCTGATGCGTGTCACATCAGCGGCCACTGGAGAGCTCCGCACCCATTACTCCCAGTTTCTGCTGCTGCCTCCAGAGCCTGGCTGCCTGCCCAGGAGATTCATCAACTTACAGCGCAGGAGTCTAAGCAAATATTGGGGAGAGCTTATTGAAAACGGCTTAATATAGTGGACATTCATGAAAGTGTGGCTCATCTCTGAAGCCATGCTGCCTCCAGGTCCCCGGCGGGGGCAGGCGCAGAGATGGACGCCAGTGTGGGGAGTAGGGGCGCCTGGAGCCCGCGGACTGCGCATCAGCTCCCAGTGGGTCCAGCGCCCACTGCGAGCTCCATCCTCAGCTCGTTCAACAGGCCAGAGCTGGCGGAAGTATTTCCACTCATTCTGAAAACTCGTGTATTTCGGAACCACACAATCGCATCATCTCTGCACAACCACCAAAAAAGTCGATCCGTGTCCTTCCACCATGGCCGACTGCATCTCAGCAGGTTCCCGAGTGCTCAGACCCTTGCCCAGCGCCATCCGGGGCCTCAACGGGGACGCAGAGCACACTGCTGGCTGCGCCCTCGCCCCGCACACGGCGGCCGTCTCACCAGAGACAGTGGGAGCCACCTTGCCCCTGCCCGCATCCCCCGTCCGTCACAGACCCTGAGAGGAAGCCCGTCACGGCGACTTTTGTTTTTCATTGTATGCAACACCCCCTTCAGCATTTGCTGGGGTTGAGCCGTAGGACACGAAGCTAGAAATAGAACTGGAAGCAGCCTGGCAGCCAGGCCTCCTCTCCCCGGCCGTGGGCACTGCCCCTCGCGGCAAGATTACACTTCCCAGGTAGTGGAAACAAAACCAAACACAAAACAAAAAGGACGCTCCGGGGCTTCCCTGGTGGCGCAGTGCTTGAGAGTCCGCCTGCCGATGCAGGAGGCGCGGGT